GAGCTTTCTCTTCCCCAGCCTGAACAACCCCAACTCTCTCAGCCTGTCCCCATAGCAGAGGTGCTCCAGCCCTCTGATCTTCATCTGGACTCGCTCCAACAAGTCCATGGCCCTCTGATGTTGAGGGCTCCACAGCTGGACACAGCACTCCAGGTGGGATCTCATGAGAGCAGAGCAGAGGGGCAGAATCCCCTCTCTCGATCTGCTGGCCACACTTCTCGGGATACAGCCCAGGATACGGTTGGCTTTCTGGGCTGCCAGCGCACACTGATGGGCCATGTTGAACTTCTTATCAACCATGACATCCACGTGTCTCCAATTTAGGGACAAGGATGTTGTGTGCCACTGTGTCAAAATCATTTATGACTGCCTCAGATTTGTTTTTAGACTTAAGTCAGATATGTTTTAAATACATCAAAGCAAAGAATTGTGTATTGTACAACTGTCATAAGAACAACTACCATTAGTAGCCTAGATGTTATTTCTTTTTACAAGGTGATGAAGAAGTCAACGAAATACATTGCCACATAATTGTCCATTCACCCAGATAATTATGTATCAAGGAAGGTCTTCATCAGACTGTGTTTCCAGGCTTTTTCCCCCCCCCTACGTATGTCAAATAATATTTTTTTTGACAATTAAATAATCTGGAGGCACATTTCCTCTTTAGTTCTAGGTGACAGTAGGTGACCTCTGCAGTCATAACTACAGAATAAAAGGCAGCCTACACTCAGGACAGCTAAGATGTATTTATTAACAGGCAAAACCAATGTCTATTGCTAAATTAATTTGGAAGAGCAGAAAACTACTTGGGGTGGGTACCAGGATATTTTACTGACTGCGCAGAACCTTAATCCTCCCAGCAAGAAATCTTGATGGTTGCTTGTCACGCAAGGAAATGGTCCTGAGCGCAGTATAAACATGCTAATGCAACCAGTAATAATCAAAAGTAATATATAGGATTGGGCAAAGTTTTCACAGTAAACGGTTTTCTTACTCCAGATTTTTTATTTTTCTCTTAGAATTCAAGAACTCCAATATAAAACATTTGTGAGTTTAGGCAGAAAAAAAATAATTGACATTTTGGTTGTAAACCACAGCATTTTGAGAACTATAAAGCAGGCCTCATGTCCTCATTCTCCTCTCTGGTTTGTTTCTCAGAGCAGTGTCCTCTAACCTGACCCCAGTGTGAAAAGAAAACAAACAGGCTCATAACCCAAGAGGGAAATCTGGACATTATGGAACAAAGACAAGGAGAACGAGCCATGGCAGTGTTCACGGCGCAGAATTGTTTCAGGCTGCTGCTTGCTCACACGAGGAGATGTGCTGGGAGGACACCACCACTACTGCATTTGAACTGAAAAAGCCCCACAAGACCCTGCTTGCAGGGGCATTTCTCTGCACTCAAATACCTGCTTCAGGACCCATTGCTTCTAATGCTCTAAGACCCCTGCTAGATTTCCAACACCTAGAAATACTCTATGAAGGCATTAACTCTAGAAGGAAAGCATGTGCACATAAAACATTTAATATTTATTTGAAAATTAATATGCTGTTTTCTCTACATCATCCCTGGAAAAGCTTTACTTCTGTGTAGGCAAAATGACTGAAGCACAGTAAGAGACAACAGAAAATTTCTCATTACCTCTGGAAGATGTTTTATTTCTCACTCGTAGTTTCTCTGGGAGTTTAGTGTTTTTAGGAAGTGAAAGGAATCTTTTCGTATTTGCAGCAGCCTGCGTGTAAAGAAATATAAGAAATGTTAAATTGCTGAAGACTGAAGTACCTGCATAATGTAGGTTAAGATACACGACTGAGGCTTGAGCGGGTTTATGTAGCTGAAGGGCTGGAGAGTAGTTTGGGATTAGCTAATATGTGACCTTTTACTACACACTCAAGTTAACGCCGATTGCTGGTTGAGGTCTGCGCTAAGGTAAAGACTATGTAATCTCAAGCAGCTTAACCAACGGAAAGCCCAGCGATATGCCCTCTGAGATCAAAGTTAATAAATGTATGCTCTCTCACCTCCACCTTACCCATACAGGTTTTCCTAAGGAAGGCAAACGCTGCAAGCATGGCATCACTTCATGCAGCTCCCGAGTGAAACATTTTATTAGTCAGCTGCAAAAATGAGTCTGGGACTGAAGCTCGGGCACAAGAACTAATCTGTATTCTGATCCTGCAAGTGCTTTATACATATAAATGACTTTATACAGTTGACTAGTCACACTGGACTTGATGGAGAAGTTAGGCACCAGCGTGATCATTTACCAGTTCAGTGCATAAAAACCTTGTTTTCTCAAGACTAAGCTCTAAAGGCCCTGGCGCAGAGCACACTTCATGCTTCCTGGAACATGAGAGGTACTTTCCAGGACAGGTTGCTTTTCTTTTTTAAATTCAAAAGTCTTTCAGGGACATCCTTTCTTACATTTGTTACAAAATTCTTTTACAACCCTTGCAGTCTACCAGCTATCCTCTTTTTGTAACATTCTTGCACGCTCAAAGGGAACCTGAAAGGAAATTTATTATCCATGAGAGATTTTTCCTCTTTGGATACTGTTGTGCTGTTCAGGACCACTATGCTTCCCTCTGCAGCGGATTTATCCAAGGATAATTACCTTTAAAATTACAGCCTGTGCATCTTAAAAAGCTGTCGGACACCCTGTTTATTCTCCCTACCCCAAAAATGTCTCAACCCTGCAGACTCTCTTCATTATTCTCCCTAGTAAATCCTTTATTTTTATGACAAAGACAAAATATGTAACTGTTGAGAGGGAAAGAATCATTCAGGGACAGACGTATTGTCACAATTAACACCACAGCAGCCCTGGTAATGATCACAAATGAGATACAGCACTTATCAGAGACATCGTGCCAGCCTCAGCTCCTAAAGGACAGCTGTATCAGTTTTCACCAACATGAAAATGCATATTTATAGGATGGTTAATTTCCCTGGTACCTAAAATGGGAAGATGATTTGGGGGATCAGCTTCCCTGCTGAGTCAGTGTGCTCCATTCAAATATGCTCTGAAGTTTACAGTGAAGGTGTTGCAGGATTGCCTCAGAGAGAAAAATATTATCATTTCTTGTAGGCAGAGGGGGTTTTCCTATTCCGTGTCAAAACCTGAAGTCCTGACTATGTTTTATGAATACTAAAGAGCCCAAAACATTTTTCAAATGAGGAGCTCACTCTGGCAGGCTCCATTAAAAGTTCTCTTTCCCATATTTTGTAGCATACTGTAAGTACTTTGTCCATGTCAAAGTCATTTTCAACCTCAATCATCCACACTTCATCAAAATACTGATAGAGAATACAGATCATCCCTTAGAAGTACACTGTGTACAGGGCCTGTTCAGCTCCTCTGAGTAAAATTATGACAGCAGATCCCACTCCCATATCACATGCTACAAGATGGAAACTTTGCTGAAGGGGTCAAGACGAATTAAGGGGCCCATGTGCGTGCAATGCAACATTTAAGTGTGACATTGTATGTGCTACTGTCTTCCAAATTCAGGATTTATTTTTTCTGTGTTTCAGGAGACCTTTTTCTGCATGGTATTTAGCTACAAAGAACTTCTTTCTATAAAACAACCAAAACGCAAGTACCGGTCTTTCTCTCGACAGGCTGTTCGTTTTCCTCAGGCTCTCCCGAAGGCTGTGCCGGCGACGGATCAGAATTTCTTTGGCCTGCTTTTCATTTGCATCTGCAGCCAGGCTGTGTCGGTTATATGACATTGTCTGAAATATAAAAGCAGTGGTCATGTTCTGAAAAGAATAATGTCAAATGTGTTGAACTATATGCACTGTGCAAAACAGGCTTTTTTGCTTTCATGTTTTAATAAGCATCACAAATCCTTGTGAACAAAATCATATTGCAGATGATTAAGAATAAGAACACTAATTATGCCAGTAGTCTTTTAGTCATCTGCTTCACAAGCACCTGTTTGGTCTGGGTTTTTTTTTTAACCTGCAATATTCATAATGAAAGAGAAATTGGAAAAAGCTGGCTTAATACAGTGTTTACCCCCACACTGTACTAGCTCAGTCAATATGTCAATAGAAGATGCACATTTGAAAGCGATGAGTCACCTAGGGGGAAGTAATTTTTACCTCCAGCAAGCTGAAGCTTGCTCCACTTTTGAATGTTTTCCAAGGGCTCAGGCATTCAAACTACTTAGCCACAGGAGGGTAAATGTGAAATGTCCTTTTGCTTTTATTTCACTATTTTTCCAGCTCATCACCTCTGCTCTTAATACAAACAACTTCACAGCTGGAGGCAAATGGGAAATCTAATCCCATATCACAAAGTGACCAAAATACGGATATAAGTGGACAGTGTTGGGTTGAATTTGCACCTATGATCCTTTTTAAATAATGTAAATATATTGCAGGCAATATGACAAAAACATTAAGCTTTATCAATAGTATAAGATCAAGTAAGCTATTTACATAAAGGAGTATGAATATGTTGCTGTGCGTATGACAGGACATGGATTCATAGCAACAGAAGTAAATAACAAAATTAATTATTATGCCATGGTACAGCAGATGTACTAGCCCAAAGATATGTTGGGAAGGTAATCAATATATTCAAAAAGTAGTGGGATATTTAAGTATCCAAGGCTTCATCCTTACTCGATGTCGTATTTGGTAGAGATTCTTTGTTAATATTTCCCGCATGTTTTCCATTTCAGTGGGAGAAAGTGGCTTTATTTTCCCTTCATGATATTCACTGTGGCAAGATTAAAAAAAGAGAGGAAAGAGAGAGAGAAGAAGAATGTTTTTACTTTTATGACTGGGAATTACATTTGAACTATTTCCGTTGTTGGAAACCACATTTCAAAACAACTGAGGAACAGGTGAAACACAACATGTAGGAATAAATTCTTGATCCCATTTGAGTCAGCGGTAAGGCTCAAAACTCAATATCCAAAATTTGATATAAATTATATTAAATCGGAAATTCGATTAAGGTACTTTTCCCAATGCACCTCAAGCTTCCTCCACAGCTATTCACAGCAGATGTTCAGTCACTGGTTCAAATCCAGCTCCGTTTTAAATGGCAAATCAATGTTCCCACGAGCAGCTGCCCTTGTAAAACCACATGCTCCGGATGAGCACAGCTCACCGAGCACTTCGTGTGTCAGCCACGAGCCAAATGCTTTTGTTTCATATCCGCTTACTGCTCAGGTGACATTTGGACACAAAGTGTCCTAAGTCAAAGTGATTATCCTACCTACAGACTGGGCTGTGAAATAAATCACGTGGCCCAGGCGAAACGCTCGGCCACACTGGCACTGCTTGCTTACCTGAGGGACACTGACGATGGGACCTTGCTTATCATTCCACTCTCTGCCATCTCGATGGCATGTTTGATTTCCAGCTTCTTGTATAAAGAAACAATGCTGGATTTGGGCTGGTTCTCCCGGATTAGAAGTCTTCGCAGGTATTTATTGTCAAACTTCTTAAACCTGTACATGAGGCAAACCAACCCAAGGGGTTAATTAGTACTGTGCATAGTTAAGGCAAGCCAACATACTGCAGCTAATGCAATTGTGAAGGAGTTTATTCCCTGGTAATGTGTCTGTTCATATTAACAATCTACTGCTGAGTAACAGAAAAAAGGGTCATCTTGCTTCAAATAGATAGTCTTAACCTGTGTTTTGGTTAACACATTAATGGACAGTCTCCCCAGCAGTAACTTTTAACTTTTAGGTATTCTGTGTTACCAGACAATATTATTTTTAATTCTCCGTTTTCATTGTGACAAAAAGAACATTAAATATTTACTGTAAAAACAAATATAAGGTCTAAATTTGCATCAACTGCTTTTTCTTTGAAATTTTAGCCTGCTCTTGTAAAACTCTGGAAATTATCTCTTCCACTAAAGCAACTGCAACCCTCTTGGATGCTTAGTGAAAAGATATTGATTAAAGCTGGGGTGATTTTGTTTGTCAGAAAATATTTTGCCCTCCAGCCATTCTGAAGTTATTCTTGAATTTGGGTCAAAAATGTTTCTGAAGGTCATGAAGAGGTGGGACCCTCCTCTGTTCCATAATCTGTTAATTAAAGATCTCACACAGACCGGACGAGAACCAGGCTGAGCAAAGAAAACTTTTACCCATGCCACACATCTTTCAGGAATGTGTCCTCACTGTCATGCCCTCAAGCCATTTGGAGAAGGCTCTTCTCAGAAATTCCTG